ATCGGCACAGGATTTAGATCAACTGATAAAATTAGTCTAATCGCCCTCTCCCACCCATAGTCACGGTGCACAAATTTTCCCAAATCCACGAAACTTCAACCCACCTGTGACAATACATGTACTGTACATGTGCGCAATTTTTATTGCATGTTCAGTTTTTTCTGTAACAACGCGCATTAAAAGAAAGCTTATTTACAAGTACATGTACATGTATTGGTTCTCATACATGTATCAGAAAGTACCAGAGGGACTACGCCATTAAATTGATGAATATGCGGTAAAGGTGCATTTCCATCACCAGCAATTATTGAAATATCGCAAAGATGGCATTTTCGTATAGTGAGTCATTAATCATTTTATTTTAATTTTATCAACGTGTGTTTTTGGTGCTTGATGAGCACAAGTCACATTGAAATTTCAATACATGTATTTTAAATATCCAATAACTTACAGCGAAAATAAAAAAATAAAAATAACATGTATTAACTGAAATATGGTGAAATAAAAATTAAGCTATTCGCGTTATTATTAGCAAATATAATTCATCTTTTTTTCCTGGAAATATATTATGTTTATTCTCAAATAAATAAATAAATATAATAGAGAAGAGAATTTATGATTGAATTGTCCAGAAGTGTTCGTTACGAATTAATTTTTACTTAAAACAAAATTAAATTTAAAAGTTTAAGATATTATATATACTAAATTACTATTACACGTCGTTCTCGTTAAATCGGACACTCGATAAACCAGATCGAAAAATTAGATTTATGATAAATCGACTTATAAAACACAGTAAACCGGTTTTTTACTGATGGAATGGATTCACCGGTTTAACGAGAGCGACGTGTATACAACAATAGATTTATTTGGGATCAAAAAAAGGCGCTATTCAACCCTCTTTACCTCCCTGGATCTCAAATGATGATGTTGAAGGTTCAACCGAAATTGAACTTGCAGGTTCAAGAGATGGTGGACGTTGACTCAATGCATAATATTTCCAGTACCACGCACTAACAGCCAAACCAATCACACATAAAGAAATAACATAAGGTAACTCGCTCGGATCTTTGGTGAATGGCACGATTAATATTAGAGCGATCATGAAAAGGAAGAAGTAAACAATTGGTTTTGGGATAAATGGTCGCTTTAGGTTTGGTTCAGTGTGTCGCAGATGCTTTGTTGATGATACAATGATTTATCGTTAGCGTTTGTTATTTACAGTGAAATTGCGTATAGTTTTAAAAGAATAATTGATTTTTACCAGAAGTCCGATCGATGCAGCGCCATACGCGATCAAAATTGTGTATTGCGATAACGAAACTAAAAATGAAAAAGGGTCCGTAGTTGGTGCCAGAATAATAATAACTGTACACCAAAGAAGTTGTGCAACTATTTTGGTAAAATCATAACGATAATATTTAGCACGAGTTCAATATTTAAAATTTTTAAAATGCGCAATAATAAAAACAAACCAAAGGCATTCGTATAAGTTCGCCGCGCTTCATGCCGTTGTTTGAGTAATCCCGAAACGCGTGGAATATAGTCTGACTGTGCAGACGCAACAATAACTCTAACGCCAGACCATATCAATGCAGTCATAGCACCAAACGAAGAAACAACCACGCATACTGAAAAAGCTCTTGCGAGCTTATCATGGGAATTATCAGCTTGGATGAGCTCATATAATGGAATTGTTCCATCAATCATTACATTTGTGCTAGCGTTCTTGAAGAACGTCGCAAATAGAGTTACGATTACTTCGTTTGGATTTGAGGTTGTTGAGCTTGCTAAAGTTTCGTTTTGACCAAAGGAGTGACCGTTAAGTATATATGAACGTGGGACGACACTTACGTAAGACACTATCACTAACAGATCTAATTGAAGTAAAAGCAACTTTGTAAACAAGGCAGGTTCATATAAAACTAACGATAAAAAATAAAGCATACATACATAATAAACCAACTGCAGCAACAGAAAGAACACCAGTCCGGACGAGATTTTTCCGGACATTTCGGACCTCATCCAACTGGTCTAAGTATATATAATATTTTATCGTATGTTGAAAAGTGAGCAATAATGAATGTAAATACAAATGAAATTTTTACTTACAATTGATATTATTCCAGCCTTCATAACAGAATAAAACCTAACAAAATAAAAATTAATAATACATTTATGTGTAAAATCATACAAAATACTGAAAAAAAAATTACAAAAAAGATAGCAGATCCATAATCCGATGCTGTGACCTTGTTGTTTTCTGGTTGAGTAGTTTCAAAAGCACCATCCCAGTTAGAAGTGTTACGCGAGAGTACCATAATTCCCATTATTGTGACAGCCGTTAAAATTAACAGTTTCACTATCGACACCGTCTGATTAATTCTGTGCGCGATGGTGTTTGAGTAAATATGATAGGTGGTGGCAATGAGCACGGCTAATACTGATATTAAACGAAGTCTCCTTTCAACATGATAATTTGTATTATATGTTAGATGATAGTTTCGGTGAGTCAAAATACTTAAAAATTTGCATACCAAAATTTCCAGTCTGTGAAATAAGTTGGATGATAATCGCTTTCTTCTGAATTTTTAATTCCAAGTGTTGCAAACAAAAAGTACTGCGCTACTATGTTTGATACAGCTACTATAGCGCCTGGTCGAATTATTGTAATCATCGCGATGCTAAACAAATAACTTAGTAGCCTGCGTGGTTCTGGGAAGGCCTTTTCTAAGTACGCCTTTTCCCCTCCAATTTCAGGAACCATAATCCCCAACTGTGATTCAGAGAAATCATTAATTTGTTAAGATAACATTAACAAAACGTCTCTTTAACATAAGGACCAATACTTGCCTCAGCATATATTAAAGATCCGCACATGGAGATAACAGCGCCCATCAGGAACAACCAAAAGGTTGCTCCTGATGACGCGGTTAACCGCCACACAACACCCGGAGTGGAGAAAATCCCACTGCCGACCATTGCGTTTACATTATTTCCAATACTGGCAAAGAAGCCAATAATCGGAATCCGTCTTGATTGCACTTCTTGTCCTTCCCCTTCGCCGTCGTCTAAGAAAGGTAATACCGTTGGATTATGTGTGGTCATTATATTGATAGTTAATTTTCAAAATTCAAATTATTATAATAAAGTTGTATTTCGAGTTACGTTCTAACTGCGTTTATGTATCTAAAATTATATCCATGTAGCACGTAGTAGCAGGCAACACATATGCCGGTTACAGCAATTTTTCCTTTGTTGACTACGTGTCGTGTAACAAACACACATAATATAGATAATAAATGAATGTTCTAAAAATGGTAATAGGATAATGGCATTCAAATGATTGATCATTTTAAGATTTTTATTTTTCGAAACACAAATGAAAAAAAGTTCGACCTCTCTTTTCCTAAAGAATGGTGTTCTTGGAAACTCCCACTGATTCCAATTCATTCGAATATTCTATTACTTTCGTAAAACAAAAAGACGCTTTTTACAAGTGCTAACGAAAATAGAAACTCTTAGAATATTCATAATTACAATTCCTATGTAAACTCCATTGAAAATTCCGATGATTATTTCCATAGCTCAAATTCTGAATATCGTCGTGGCTTAAACTGCGGCGAATTTAAGACAAAGCAGTCATCAGCATACTTCTTGAGGATTTTGAATGGCATGTTTTATTAATTATTTTTCGTAAATTACATGTACATGAACATTTAATAAACAAATTGTCTTTGTTGGTTCAATCATTCTTTGTCTATTTAATTTTAGATGTATTTTATTTTTTGTACCATAAAAACGTATCTACTCGACCCGAAAATTCAACATCCCGACCACCATCTTCCCGACAATTCAACATTCCGACAAATCTAACTTCCCAACTTCCCGAAAGAACTAATCTAATTTTTCGTTATATCTGGATGTTGGTTTTGCGGGAAATCGGGTATGTCGGGATGTTAGATTATCGGGATGTTAGATTATCGGGATGTTAGACTGTCGGGAAGATGGTGTCGGTGACACACCATACATTAGTGTTAACAAAGAAATCTTTTATGTATTACATGTATATGTGCGTTTTGCTTTTAGCGTTAAACAAATATAAACAAAATTAAACTATCGGTGATTCATTTAAATGTACATATATCGTTATTGTGTAATTACAAAAAGATAATACATGTGCCACAAAGTTCGGCAAATATATCCGGAGTCTTGCAAAATGGAGGATACCCAATTCAAAGTGGCGGCCCGCCCCGCTTCGCGGGGACGGGGGAGGGGTGCTCCGACCCTCCGGGAGGGGGGATTGTCAATGAAACATATATTTACGGAAAAGGAATTTATATCGATTTGCTGTATGCGTTCTTCATTTTTTTGAGCATTGATTTATAATTAAACATAGATAACTTTATGATCCAATCTAATAAAATAGCATTGTCTTTTAAGAATCAACATAGACTTTTGCAGGCTCGTAAATTTGAATTTAAATTATAGTTAATCAAAACCGTTTGATTAATTTACTTATAAATTAGAGAAATTACAAATTAATATTTAATATATTTACAATAATTAATGAAATCTAGATGTTTTAGAGAAATTTAGTTAGAATATTTGAAAAACCTTTTATTTTGCAGCTTTCAAATTGTAGAGTTTTAATATAACATGTGTCTGTGAGGATATCAACCAAAATATAAAAATCAATAAAATTCTTTGTACAATTTGAAATACTTCATCTCAAAGTAACATAACAGACTATGTTTGTATGAATAATTTTGGCAAAATAATTACTTTTGAATAGATAAATAAAACAAACTTCTATATATATTTGCTTATTTATCCATCGGATTCATTCGAAATAAAAAGCTATTTGGTCCAGTATGTTGAGTGAATTCATTTCCAAAGCTTATAACTTAACTCGAATAGTAGCACCATTTTGTCTATGTCGTCACAAAGTCAATGAAAACGCGATAGATTCTTGGAGAGCAAGATAGGTTAAAAAAGCAAAGAAACAAAATAAACAATTAACTAGAACTAATAATGATCTTGTAATAATAGCTTTAAATCGAATGTTTTGTAATAAATTCGAGTGATCAAATCCCAAACAAAAAGATACCAAAGTTTTCACGATATCGAGGTTTCATGTATTCGGAATGCCATTTCGATCATAGGATGTCATTCATTTGGGATTTCGTTTCTCGGGCAAATGAATTATCGTGATTTTGTCTGCAGAATTTTGAACGTCACCGATCCATTGACTTATTTTAATATATATTATCATTTTTACTTGAAACTCGAATAGAATTTAAGCTGGAAATCTTCATTTCCGGGACCAGGTAATAATTTTGTTGAAAAGAGCTACAAAACAGAGCATTACTTCACTGTAAAAATCAATAGAATTTTATGTGAAGATACGATTCAACGGTATATATTGTTTGAATGTGAATTTTAATCGCTTTGTCAATTTCTTCACAGAAATTGAAAATCAACATTCTCAGGATAGAAACCTTGAGCAGTACCCATCTCATGTATGTAGATTTCTTGAAGATTCAAATCATCATGTCTGAGCAAGAAACTAGAGTAGTGTGTTATTAATTGCAAAATTTTTGATACTTCGTGTATTAATACGATTTGAGACAATATGTTTTTTACAAAAGAACAGTCTTGAATATATTCAATTAATTCGATAAAAGCCAACTCCTCTATATCAAAGAGTAAATTTATTAAGTTAAATAGTATCATATTGTAGTTTTTTGACCAAATTTCTTTACAATAATTACATATTAAATCGCAAACATCCAAGCTAAACTATATTCTTAATATTAATTAATTTCTCAAATATTGATCCAGTATAATATAAATATAATATTAAGTTAATTTATGAATAGTTATTAAAATAAATCTCTCTAAATGCACAAGGACCAGCCATGAGCATGCATTTAGGAAGGGTGTACCATGTATGCTGATTGATACATGTAATTATCAAAAGTTATTAACTATAGATATATTAAAATTTCTATTTTTTACTTTTTAAACGAATTGTCAAGCAAAATTTACTCATTATAATCAACGAGATGTGATTAAAAGCGAATTTTAAAAAAATATACTATCAGAATATAGAATCAATTTTTTATTCGATTTTTTGAGTTTCTATCCATCTAACAATTAAGTCATTTACATATTGTTATAACACCATTTTTGTTATTTCAGATATGGCAGAATTAGTGTGCATTCCAAATAAAGAAATTCTAGTTTTATTACAAACATAAAAGATATATTCATATTGATGAATCATTCTTTTTACTTCTTTTACTTCTCAATTTTCGATTTTCTACATCGACTTCGCACACACTCCATCAATTATCTTGTTATATTCATTACATATGCATATATTATATTTTATTAATCTATGAAAATTAAATAATAACTCTTTATTCACAAATAAAATTTTTAAATATTATTAATTATATGTTATATTCTCTAACACTAATATCACGCTTACCTCAACTTCTATGCTATTGTCACGCTTCTTCCCAAAGATATTGAAAGAAAGATGGTGAAGACTCCGACTGAATGATTTACGAATGGAGGGGTTCTCGATCCGTTCTAAAGGCCTCCTGTGGTAGTTCTTTCGAGTTCTACTATTTTAATGGTTGAATGGAGCGAGGAGAATTGTATTTAGCGGAGTTGACTGGCACAACCGATTGATTCACTCGAATACGGGTAGTTTCGGCTCAGTACCAATACAAGAAGAAAAAGTTGGACTTATTAATATAGCCAACAAAACTAATCTACAAGAAGAATTAAACACAAAAGACTCGACTAAACTTATCCAATGCCAGCAAATAATTCTATTACAGGTAAGTATATTTTATTTATCGATTTATGTTAGGCATAAAAGATATAAAAGCCACTTATGCGCAAGATTAACAACGAAGATTATGATTATAAACTATTATACTTTATTTCGCGTTGCTCTGTCTTTATTAAAAGGCCAAGAACACACCTTTATATACATATGATGTGAGTAACTGTATTACTTCTAAACTAAGGAACTTCTTTCTCGATTAATAGTTAGAAACTGTAGCAGTCTATTATTAACATTGTTCTATTATAATTGAAAGTCCTCATAGAAATAGAAGAATTGAGCTCGCAAAAAGATTATTGTTGAATATACATCAAAAAGTAATCTCATAAAAGGTCTAGCTATACTTTCACAATGAATGACATCGAGGATTAATTATCTCGAATTGTTGACAGTCATGGTGGTTAGATCAATCGCCAAATAATTTTATAACGGAGCTGGTGAGAATCGTTCAATTTTACGAAAAACGTAGTCAGATGCAGTGTGATTACTGCGTGGTATTAGTATCACCCGTTAATTATGACCAAATATACATGTAGTTGCCGAGTAATGTCTACTAACTTAATAATTAACTAATTAATAATTTCCACGCTATAATGACTAAAAAAACCGTCTCCATTGATATTCAATTGTTACAAGGACCATTATCTCCCATCTAGCATAAAGTATAAAAACATGGGAAAATATAAATATATACTATACAGGAATGTACTATCGCTATGAATAAAAATATGAACAATGACTTAAAATAAATAAAATGCCCAAGTCAAAAAATTAATCCTCTTTATAAGTATCTGAATCTTCCTTAAAATAATCCGAGTCTATCACTTTTTGTATTTTTGGACGATTAATTGGATCCTGGTCTAACATTTGGACAATGATACTTGCAGCCCCTTGATCGAAAATATCACAACGAACCTTACCTACACACGTTGATAAGTCGTCAAAAGATTCATAAATAATTTTTTTCGTATGGATAAAGTAGAAAATGCATCCTAAGCTAAAGATATCTTGCGCGGAGCTAACTTTAATAGGAATAGTGGGAGGTTGCACAATCTCTGGGGCACTAAATCCAGGGACAAAGTCATCGTGATTAAATTGTAGAAGGTTTCCAAATTCTTTCGCCATTTCAAAATCACACAGACGTATCTTGCAATCTTTATTCGGCTTACAAATAATATCTGAAGGTTTCAAATCAAGGTGCTGAAAAAGAATTGAGCTTTTAATTATAATGGATTGTATTAAAATAAGAGACAAAAAAATATACTTACAGCAATTTCTTGATCATGAAGAAATTTAATTGCTTTAGAAATGCTTAATAATATTTGTTTTTTTGAAATGGGATCATTAAATATATGTTGTTTTGCTTCCAAATCCTCGCCAGCATAACAGGTAATAGACACAAAGCCTCCAAAAGGACGATCAATTTCCATATCCATCCATTTAACGACATATTTTGACTGTAACCGACAGAGAAACTTCCTTTCATTTTCCCATAAAGATTGATGCTCAAACACTTTGATTATTATTTGATCTGAAGAATAATAATTAGTTTGCCCTTTGTATAATCGATTTCTATATTTCCTTTCTTGATATTCAACCGAAGATAATATATATGATCTCGAACAGACAATCTTTACGCTTCCATAATTTTCGTTTGGTGTTCTTTTGCTACGATATGTTGAATTTGTTCTATTACTAAATCTTGAAGTGGAACTTGTTGATGAAAACGTGCTAGTCCTCCGCGAATGACTATACGGTTGTGATTTTTCTGAACTTGCTGAAGAGTTACTCCGAGATGGTGGCTTTTCTTTTAAAAAGGTAGAAAGAATTAAGACATGTTAAAAATAACCATTATATTTTATATCTTATTATTTTGACTTTGTTTATTCTTTTAGTTCAATTTGAATGGTCTTTTTGCCTTACTTGTCTCTGTTTTCGGCCCATCTTCAGAGTTCTCGTTTATATTTCCTTCCTCTATTAGAGATAATCAGAATGTTAACACTCTAAAGATTCAATATAATTTTTATTTATTATACCTTTTGGAAATTGCTTACCTTGGTTAGGATTATTGCTCTCGCCATCATGTGCTTGTGTTGTTTCTGAGATTAAATTTTAAGTTGCTACTTTTTGTTAAATTCAAATAACCATTTTATTAAAAATTGCAAACCTTGAGAATTTTCTTCGATAATTTGCTTAAAAGTGGTCAATGTATGAAAAGATATATTGAACCTCGTATGGCCATCAAGATCGGTTCCTTTAAGTGGTAGATCACCTACTCAATTAAATCAACAATTTATAAGCTCCATCTTTAGGTAAAGCACAAAATGCAAAGGAAAACAAACATTTAAGCATTCCCGTTTCCATTAATGTTTTCCAATTTTCTGCGGAGTTGATTTCAAGTTCTGCTTTTGCAAAGCCATTGATCATTGAAAAGTATCGGTATTGAATGCATAATTTTATGTTTTTGTCAATCAGAGAAAACGCTATGGGATATTCACATTCCTCTGGTGACATGTTCCAATATTTCTCGGTCGTATGTTTTTTAGTAATATCAGTTACCGGAGCTTGGCTCCGCCTACGAGTTGACCGTTCCTGAGCTCCAACTTCAGTTGGATTGTCCTGAATCCGGAGGAGTAATTCTAAATGACCTTTTGCGCCTATTCCTTTGCTGTCAAAAGAAAGCAGATGCTTCAATACACAACTAATTGAATCATAACTTTATTATTCATACCAAGTAATGTTTTTTAACAATAGTACGCCTTTTATATTATTTGACGAAGACTCGTCACGTAAGTTTAGGTCAGCATCTTTTGGTAGATTCTATGGAATTTAATTAATATTAATTACTAATATTATATATGTATTTACAAAGAACATCATTAAAATTTCTCTTACCCCGGAAAGAAAATAAATAGTAAAAAATACATTTCCGACAGATTTTTTATGTTTTTCCAAGTTTTCCAAGGGTAACTCCACTGGGACTATGATAAATAAAAATATTGTGTGAATAAGATATGACTGCATTGTTCATAAGTGCATTTAATAGATAATTTACTTTTTCCTTTAGCTTCGCAAGAACTTAAATTTAATTCAGCTTTTCCGAAAAATCCTTCGTCACCTCCCCTACTCATGTCGTAACAATTTACATGTAGAACTTCTTTTACCGGAGGCGATAATTCAAAGGTCAAATGCTCAGACCAAGAAGCCTCGTTCTTCCTACTACTAAAATTTTGAATGTCATGTGATAACTATTATCAAATGAGGATTCACCGTTTACAATTTAAACTTACATTTTAGTTTCCGTAGTCTTGCATCTCTTATCATCTATACTAAATTCTAACTTAGGTTTAGTATCCGGCCCAAATAATAAACGTCCGAGTTTTCCACCTGGTTCGCTCGAACTTAAAAGAATTATCAGCAAATGATTAACGTTTAACTTAAAGCTAAACATTGACAAACAACATAAATTTGATTCGATAAAAACCTAAGGTTAATCTGCATATTTTTGATGAGCAGCATTGCTGGTCTTTCATTTTTTCTGGAACGCGACATTATGAATCACAAATTAATATTTAAAGATCGTACTTTTTTTCAGTTAACGTTAATTAATTACTTGTATCGAAAAGAAAAGACTTTTACCGACCGTTACGTGTTTTTATTAATACATGTAGTCCGTTAAATGGCATACATGTATCACGTTAGGCAAATACAAAAATGCATATCTTTTACCGCTACGCCTTTTGTGCTAATGATTTACTAAATGGAGAAGTTTACTCTCATTCCTTAACCTAAAAATGAAAATTTTAAGTTATCATTATTAACCTCAATCAAATTACCTATTAAAAATAAATGCGTGAAGCATAGACATAGGATGTATCTATTAATATTATTTACATATGAATTCCGAAGTTATTGGGAGTATTAATGAAGGACTTAAAAATTAAGGTAGGTTTTCTACAACTTTCCTTCAAAATGGTTTACATCTAATGTTAAAAGATTTCTAAAGGTTTTTTGTAGAATCTGAATTACTGCTTCAGTATGTATCGTCCAAGGTAAAGTGTATATGGGTAGATTTAACTTGTGAATGAGAATAATTATGCTTTTTAATTCTAATTCTTGTGCCAACGAATATTGTACTATGTGTGCGGTTCAAAGGAAAGAGTGTAAGTGAATAAGATGGTTTGGACATAGGAATTGGAACGTGATTGAAAAATGTATAATATTGCATGGAGTATGATCCAGCAGTCATTATGCTTTTGCCAAATTACCAGTTGAACCAAGCATGTGACATTATGAACATTAGAAAAAAATCATTATTATAATATTCATCATATATATCTGATTCATTTCAAGTTTGATATTGTGATCTTGAAACATAGTTTTGTCTATAATGAATCAATAATTGATCAAAATACTGCTTTTTTTCTATTTTCTTTTATTTTTTCTCTATCTTTATATCTTAATTTATTATATATTGGATATTTTTCAAGATTTATAAATTCTCTGATATATATAATACAAGAATTAATATAATAATTTATGAAATTCAGCTTAATTATTATTTGTTTCCTAAAAAATTTTTGAAGTATGCAATGCAAATAATCCTATAACTTTTAAGATTTTATTGAATATAATATCAGATATATTATGTTGATTCTTGATTCTGAGAAGTTAGAGATCTTCTAAAAGTATAAAATCAATATTTATTAAATACTGCTAGTTTCTGATTTTTTATATTAATTATAATTTTTATTATTGTCTAGCTGAATTAAATTTTAAAAAAACTTTAATTTCTGAATTTTTTTCAGATTATTATTTGAATTTTTTTTAAGATATATTACTGAATTATCTATTTAAAAATAATAATAAAATATTCAAAGTTATTAATAATTAAAGCTATTAATTTATCTGATAAAAAATAATAAATTATCTGAAATAATTGCCAATTTACATGAAATAATAAATATATTAAAGAATTAAAATAAAGTTTTTTTATAATAAGAAATAGTATAAGTATAAGATATCTAATATTTATATATAATATAAAAAGTATTATAACTTAAAAAAAATAAAAATTTCTCTTACAGATTTATTACTTTTTATTTAAGCTTTACAGTAATTCTATTAAAATAAATTTTTTATTAATTATAATTTTAAAAAGTTATAATACTTTAGATTTTAAATATATTAAAAATTTGATATTTATTATATAAAAATAAATTTTTATATATTTAAAAATTTTTTTAATTACTTTCTAATTAATTAGTTTAATTAATATATATATAAGATTTATAATAAAAAATTAGTATTTTAATATAGTATTAGATATCTTATATTATCTTTTATTATATTTATTTATATATAATATTCTGAAAAAAGTATAATTCAATTCAAGTTTAATTTAATTTCAAGCTTAAACTTATATTTTAAATTTAAAGTTTAAACTAAACTTAAACTTTAAATCTAAAAAAAATTAAACTTAAATTAGATTCAAATTTGAATTTTAAATCAAATTCAAATTTAGTTTAAAATTAATTATAAGTATAATAGTAAAAATTATAATCTAAATTAAAGTTATATTTTTAATTATAAATATAAATATTTATTATTTAAAAATTTAATTTTAAATAAACAAATTAAAATATTTTTATTTAAATAATTATAATTTATTATAATAAGAATAATATATTTTTTAAATAATAATTTTTTTATTATATAATTTTGCATTTCTGTATTATAATTAGTAATTTTATTTTATTATATATATAAATAAAAAAGATAATAAATATTTATAATTAGCTTTTCTATAATAATTTTAATCAATTATATTTTTTTTAATTTATATCTTTCTTTATTTTTTCTGTTTTATATTTTATCTTTTATATTACTATTTTTAAAAATTAATTTTAATCTAAATATTTAAATAATTATTATATATTAAATTAAATTAATTTAATATATATTATTATATAGATAATTATTATATACTATCTAATTATTAATTTTATTTTTAATTAATTATTTTTATAATTTTATTTATTTTTCTTTATTATTATTAATTATATTATTAAATTAAGTATAATTAGCTCTTCAAAAATATAATATAAGATTATTAATTTATTTAATTAAGTAAAATTTATATATATTTTAGATTATTAATTTATTATTAATTTATTTATATTTTATATTTATTTATTTATATAAATATAATGATTATCAAAAGTAACATAATACTTAAATTTTTTATTAATTATAAATAGTAAATAATTTAAGCATTACATTACTTTTGATAGTTATTATATATCACTTTATTCTACAAATCTAAATATTATTCAAATAATAAAATTATAAATATTTATAAATTAAAATTATTTGCTTTATATTATATCTTGTTTATAATTATAAATAAATAATCTTATAACTTAATAATAATAATATAATTATTAAAATATTATTTATTATTTTTATATTATATTATAATATATATTTTATATGTAATAACAATCAAAAATAATATAATACTTAAATTTTTTACTAATTATAATTAGTAAAAAATTTAAGTGTTGTATTATTTTTGATTATTACTATATATATATTAATTTATTTAATTTAAATTATAATAAATATAAATAATAATTCATAAAGTTCAGGAAAAATATAGCTAAACTTATTAAAATCAGAAAGTTTTACTAGTTTTAAATTCTTATTTTATTTTTTTATCAAATTATTAAATTAAATAAGAATATCTTTATCTAAATTATATAAGTTAAAACTATTTTTTTAGTTCAAGAAATTACAAAAGAAAAAATATAAGTAAAATATATTATTATCTTCTTAAATAATATTCTATATTAATATTTTAATAAATATAAGATAAAAAATAATAAAATATCTTATAATAAATAAAAAAATTTATAATTATACTTAAAAATATCTTTTATTATTATATTATCAATAATATTTTTATTATTAATTATATTTTCTTTATTAATTTAAATTTATATAAAATTATAATATTAAATTTAAGAATATAATTAAATAAATTACAAATATAAGAAATCTAAATTAAATTGCTTATTTTATAAAAGATTTTAAATTTATTATAAAGATAAAATTAGTTACTAAATATTAAAAAATTAGAAAATATCTGAAAATTAGCTATTTATTATAATATTATTATATATAGACAAGACAGATTAATAAATATATAAAGTAAATATAATAATAATTATTTATATCAAAATCAAATAAAAAATATCAAAATAATTAAAATAATATTCTAATATTTATAGAATTAAATTAATTAAAAGCTCTTATAAGAAAAATAATTAAAAAAATAATAAGATATATTATAATTATAAAAAGTCAGAATATTTTGCAAAAAATTATTATTTAAAATCAAAGATTAAGATTATTAATATAAAAAATTCTCAAAAAAAAATATTTTATTAAAATAAAAAAATTAAATTTATATATTTAAAGAATAATTATAAAAGATTACTTAAATTTAATAATTAAGTAAATGATAAATTAATCAAAATATTTTTTTATATAAAATATTAAAAAACTTAATTAATAAAAATTTTATATAAAAAAATAAAGCTAAATTCAAAAAATCAATTTTATTAATATTAAATTTATTAATAATAAGAAATTATAATTATTATTATAATAAAATTAATAAGATATCTATTATATATAAAATAAATATATAAGTTTTAAAATTATAGAAATATAATTTAATTCTTAATAAAGCTTAATTAATCTAATTATAAATTAGAAAAATAATAATATTATTACTATAGTTATATAGAAATTCTTAATTTTATAATCTTTTTTTGGTTATGTAAAATTTCATCTTTTATAATTTTATACTTTATTCTATAATTACTCTTATTTTTTTTATAATTATACATTTATTTTTCTTATTTTATTTATCTTTATAGTTATATTTTTATTTTTATATATTATATATTATTCTCTTTATTTAAGATATATATTTTTAATTTATCTATTATATATAATTCATGTATTTATTATAATAATATATTTAAAGATTCTTTTTAAATATTTAATAAAATAATAAAATATCAATATTTAAATATCTTTTAATATTTATTTTAAATATCTTTTAATATCTTTCAATATTAATATTTTAAATATTTTTTAATATTCTTTGATATTTATATTTTTAATATAAATATTTAAATTATTAGTATTTTAATAATAATATATATATTTAGATAGTATTAATTAGTAATACTATAATAATTTATGTATTCAAAAAATATATAAAAGAATCTGCTATCTTAGCTTGAAATAAACAGTTTTGAATTGAATTATTTGGAAAATATAATTTTAAAATATTCTTTTTCTAATTATACTAGTATCTTTTCTTTCACTTAGTTTTATTTTTTTAATTATACAAAATTAATTTTGATTTTTAAATTATAATATTATATTAATTTTTGATTATTAATTTTTAATATTATTTTAAGAGTAGAAGATTTTTACTATAAATAAGTCATACTTTTTATTTTTATTTATTTTGA